TAGATATATTATTAATAAATATATTATTAATAGCATAGCATATATACACGGTGAGTATTAAATTTCCAGTTATCAGTATATTATAATATGGTACTGTATACAAAGTTGCACTTTATTTATTTCCTTTTTACTTTTTTTACTTTATGATTATCCTTATCTTTGCCTCCACTAATGTATTGCGAGATATACAATTCCAAAACGGATTTTGGTAACTCCAGAAGGTCTTTTAAAAGTAAGTATTAATATTATAAATTAGAACACCTTTATTTGTACACGGGGGTATACGTACGTGGGTATTAATTGATTTGAACCCAAAGTGGGTTTTATAATCAGGATTTTGAGATATCAATATACCTGTGTATACTGGTATCTTATAGTGCAAAATAGAAATTCTCTCCCTATACATAAATATTTATAATTTTCTGTTGTTATTTTGAAAATTTATATTTTTTTTTATAACATGGGCATCTCGAGAAATGCGTTCTAAAGACAATTGCTCTTTTAACGTTGAGAAATTTATCGCTAAATCTGGTCCAATTAACTATAAATAGTTCTGAGAAGTTTGGGGTGCCTTACCTTCTAGGTGGTTGTATGTCTCAAATTTTTCTAAGACGTTAACCTTCGGCGCCACATGAGATCAATTTTCGAGGTAATCTTTAATTTAACAGCGTATTTATATGAATTGATGCCCATGGGCGTTATTTAGAGACATGCAATTTAAAGAAAGCTAATAATTAATTTATCCGAGTTGAATCATAATTTGTTGTTAATTATAAGCTTTCTTTAAATTTAATCATGCCAATGGGCATTATACTGTAAATGTGTTGTTACATCATCACCAATTTTTAATTTACGCATTTTTTTATAATAGTTTTATGGTGACGTCCAAGAAATTCTTGTTGGAATCGATTTTGCTTATGTGATATTCGTGACGCTGTCAAGGCACTTCAATTTCTCCGTCAAGGCGCGCCACATAATCAATTTAAATTGGAAATCTGGTTTTCTTCTAAACCATGTGTTGTGCAGGTATCTTCTATTATATAATGTTTTTTTAATAACTTCAATAGCTTAGTGGTAATATCAATTTTAACAATAATGATAATAACATAATTCTTAGGAATTGCCAAAAATCCAAGGTAATGAATCTGTTATAATTATAAATATAGGGAGTCCAAATCTGTGTCCAGTATTACGATGCTGGATTATAGTCTTGGGATGCGGTTGCTGAAGACTTCAAACATCATCAAAAAAATGGGTTGACCATTCCTCCGGTCCTTGAAAATAGATCTGAAAAGTTTTCTCCATACCCGCCCAAAAATAGCACCGTGATCTCATCTGGTAACAGAACTATCCCAGAAAAGAATACTTTTAATCTTGAAAGAATTAGAAATGGTATTTTTAATTTATTGCTCTAAAGGGTAGGATGAACGTAGAGCGATTTTTGATACTCCTGCATAGAGGTTGGAACCGGTTTTAATAATTCAGGTTTATCACGTAAATTTTGTGATATTTTAGAATTTATTGAAATTTAATTGGACTAAATTCTAAAATATCACAAAATTCACGTGATAAACTCGAATTATTAAAACCGGTTTCAACCTCTACTCCTGCATCTACTTTATGATATATCTAAACATACTCTAAGCCTAACCGATAGGATTATAGTAAAAAGTTAGATGTATCAAAAAATTAAGTGTAGGAGAATTTTTACTAGCAATCACGTGGTAAATCAAATATGATTCAACCAATCAGAATTCGCTATTTCTGTGTGAACTAGGAAACTTTGATGATTACATATATCCTGTAACTTTACTATTATAAACAAACTGTTTGACAATAATTGGTTAAATTGTTAAAAAGTTTTATTAGAAGCAACTTTTTACTTACTATGTGAAAAATTTATTGTTTTAACATTTCATATAGGCCTTGATAATCGTATCACATTAATGATCAGGAATATTCCGAACAAGTATACTCGGGTATATGATTATTCTATTATCAACGGATATATTTGCGTTATTGCTTACGGTTACTTGTGTAAAACTTAGCGAATGCTTTTAAGTTGGCTCGACGAAACCCATTATGGTCAATACAATTTTGTCTACTTGCGTGTAGATTTTAAAAACAAGTGCAATGTCAGATATGCTTTTATTAACTTTGTGAATGTCAGGTAAAATTCTTCTTTATATGTTCCTTATTATTTTTCCTTACTCTATTATTTATATGTTGTTTCAATAGTGTCGTACTTTCTTTTATTGAAGCACGCATTGGAAACAAATGGCCGTCCTAAACTCTTTCATACCACGGGTCCCATGCGCAGTTATGAAATGCCATTCCCAAGACCCGTTAACATTGAAATGCAAATTGCTTTGAGAGAAAATAATGGGTTTAGGAGCTTCCTGGATTATGTTAAATAGCACTTATTTTACTTCTTTTTTTCTTTTTTTTTCTCCTTTTTTTTTATCAGCTTAAAGGGCTCTACGTTTTTTTACTGCCATTTTCATTAGTTGGGATTTTATTTAATGAGAACCATATGAAAGAACTTTTATTTTATATCGTTTTTTATGTATATATTTTTTTATATTAGTAAGATTTTTATAGAAAAAGGTTTGTTCAAAAACAGTTTTTTTCTTGTTACTTCAATAAAAAAGATATGGATAATTAATATCGGACAATAAGAAATTAATCAAAAATACAGTAAAGATCGAGACCAAAATTAAAGTTTTGGAATAGTTATATAATTATTTATTATAAATTTTGTCAACTAAAAAATTTTACAAATAATAAATTTAAAAATTAATTTCCTCTAATTTTTTTGCCCAATCATTATTCCATTCGTGAGGACATCTTTCACCTTTATAATGATAAATTGGTCTACAGTTCCTGGAACATTTTTCACATTTAAATTTTTCTTTTTCAAGTTCAATTGATTTTTTAAATTTGCAATTACAAGTATTGTGGGTATTTTTAAAACAAAAAGAGCACCGTAAATACACTTCTGAATGAACATCGTCCCAGGACCAGTAGTTGATGCCCCATTCAATATGATAATTTTCTTTGCAGAAATCGGCAAAACACAAATTACAGGTTTTTTTTTTCTTTTGGTATTTCACCCCATGGACGGGGAGGATTTGGTTTGCGATCCCAGCCTTTTTCTTCTTGATCTAGAGCAAATACATTTATTGTTACTATTGGTAATATTTCATAAATACGAAATTACTTAAATATACACACAACGCATTATTTGAAATATAATTATCAGCGATTTTGATATTGGTGCATACAGTAAAGTGCAAGACACGCTTTGTTTTTATATATGTCTTCAAAAAAGATAATGACAATAAAATGACAAAGCCGACAATTTTATATTTATTTATTTATTATAGATGTATAAAGACTTTAAATAATACAATCTCGTTTCTACACGTGACTTTGAATAAAGATTTTATCTAATAAAAATTACGGTTTTTCCCGTTGCGGCACTCATATACTGGCCGATTATATTTTTTCTTATAGAAGCAAATACATGAACATAATATCAATATATATAATTTGTGGTAATAATACAGTACAGCAGTGTTGGCACATGACCAGGTCATAACAGGTCATATTACTAAGTTCAATTAGTAATGTCATATGACCTCAGTCA